TTTTATATATCTTGTAACCAGTTGGTTCAGTTGCGTTTTAGTTTTAAATGGTTTTTAATAGTACAATATTAAATGCTTGGTCTTAACCTGATTATTGTCCTTTTCTTTTATCTCCTTTTAATAATAAATACTGAGTTTTTGACTTGAATGCACGTCTCCGGCTCTCCTTGTACCTGTAAAATAATTTGTTTGTGGGTTCAGGCAGAGACCCTCACACTGGGGTTGGTCACAAACGGTATGAGGTTTCTTTCTTTTTTTTTTAAATCAATGAGTATTTTAAAAAAACAAACAAAAATACTCATTTTCTGATTAAAAAAAAAAAAGAAAAGAAACCTTATACGTAGAATGTTAACCTACCAAAAATATTTCTTTGTCACCTAACAGCTTAGAGCAGCCGGTTCCAGTTTTAATTTTATGTAAAGCCACAACTCGTTCTTCTTACAGCCTCTAAGTGAAGCTGGCATCTTATTTACCGTAGAACTCTTTGCAAAAATGCAGATAAGCATGCTAATCAAAAGACTGCATCTCAAATAATCATACAGATAGGCCTTAATAAGTGCCACTACATTTTAAAAGTCTCTTATTCGGAAATAGCTTGGTAATAATAAATAATAATTTCAGTTAAACCAGCCTGTGGTGTCAAACTCCTTGAAATCACTTCACTGTGCTCACTTGTACAAAACACGCCGCACGTCACATCAGCATTAGGAGGCAGTGTGTGGTTTACCAAGAGGGCAGAAATGAAGCAGAATGAAACTCTTCTGAAACTCTGGAAAATAAATAGTCTGTCTGTGTGTATGTGTGTGTGTGTGTGTTGTGCTTTTGCTGTTGGCGCTCTTATTAATTCATAGCTGGGTGCCGGCCCCACCTTGGTGCTCCTGGATATCCTTCCTCTGCTCAACCAACCGTCGTTGCGGAGACACATAATGGGTAGCCGGGATTTTGGAGTTGTGCACATTAGCTCCCCTGTGAGCCTCTGTGAGCTACACTCACCCAAACACCGCTCCTCTCTGTCCATAACTAAACCACATAAGCCCGTTTCAGTCTGTCGACATCACTTAGCATGGCCGCAGTCACCGAACTTCCCCCGAAAGTTGCCGCCTTCCCTCCGGGCTTTGGCTGATCTGTCCTTCTCAGTTTTCCTTCCACGCAAGCGATCATTACTTGAAATAACTGCAAACATTTTCTTCTTAACAGGTTCTCACATCTGAACTAATTACAGCCAAATCATCTGCTCTTTCAGGCAATGTCACTCCCGAGCATCTGGGAATATGTGTCTAATCTGCAGAAACCTGCTGCCCCTCTGTCTTCCTGCACAGAAGCTCCACTTTATTCTGTGAAATGAGATGCTAATCCTGTTGGAAATGAGATGCACGTGCATGTGTGTTCTTCATGCTGACACCGCCGCATGCATGCCTGCCATTAGCCAGAGTGTATGTGAGAGCGAGAGAGAGAGAGAGAGAGAGAGAGAGGGGTAATGTGCGATATTGTCTGCTGAACCCAGTGTGTGATAAATGGAAGGAACTAATTGCTTGATAATGGTGAAGAAAAATGCAACAGTCTGCAGTAACTTGGTGACACTGTTTTCCCCCCCACATGCTTCATGAGCACGTTTCCTGGGATGACTTAGTGCTTACTAATGGTTTGTGGCTGAGAAGCAGTTGATGCTTTTGTGTTAAAGTGAATTTAGTGACCTGTTTTGTACTAAGCTGGTGGTTCTTTATTGCTGAGTCAGCGAACGTGATTTTCGTCATGATGACAGTATTGCAATGTCTATAAACTGATGATAATGATGATCATACAAAAACATGTCTATATCGTCATCATTATTTCTGTTCTATCCTCTCCAACACAATCATTATTTGTTAAATTATCTG